GGGGAGAACCTGAGTTATAATGCCCAGGTGGAAGCCCGCTCAGCCGGCCATGATCTCAGCCGCTGCGGGCGATGCCCCCGGGCTCGCTGGCGCCGGCTAGAATCTCAGTGCTACTCCAGGACCCCTCCCAGCTCCGACCCGACTCTGCTCCCGGAGACGCTGATCTCAGGGCCGCTCAGCCAAAGGCCCAACCACCGCGCGCGCCGCGCGCCGCGCATGCGCACGCACTAAAAGCGGTGAAGTGAGGAGGAGGGGACTCACCTCGTCCTGCAAGTACCTAAAGATGGGTCCACTCCTGGAGGAGGTACGGCCATTGCGCGCGCCCCAGGAAAGGCGGCGCTGGTTCTGGAACGGAGCCAGGGAGAAGTGAAAGGGTTCTTTAGCACTCAGTTCGGATCCTGCCTTAAGTTTGCTAGCCCTAAGGTAAGCAGCAGCCAGTAACCAGGCGTGCCACTCACCACCCGCTCCCCCTACTCTATTTCACTTGGAACACCCCCATGGTAGCAAACGGGACTTGCCACTTTTGCAATGAGGAAGAAGGTAGATGAGTTAGTCAATTCTAGCCCCTGAGGGTGACTCAGAAGGTAAGAATTCAAAAGGTTCGCGAGAAGATGACTTTTCTAGGCGAGGCAGCCAGGAGAGTCATTGGCCTTTACCACCTTAGATAGGACAGGGCCTAACCTCCCTCAGAGGCCACCCTCTGTGAACGCTTGAGGCCCCGCCCTCTCAGGTTGCTGCCCAGCCAATCAAGTTTGCTCCTCGGGTGAGGCCGAGCAAGAATGAAGGGCGTGGCTGGACTGAAGAGGCGTGATTTCCCTTTATCCCTCCACCGCCTCTGCCCGGAACTCATTGGCTCTCACCGAGCTCTTCTCACTGCTGGCCGAATATCCCGCGAGATGATTGGGAAAGGAGCGTTAAGTCGGGTTTCGTACCGCCTCTAACCCTCCCTTCTGCCCTAGCGGGGCCTTGAGGCGGAATTTAGGCTGAGAAGAAAGGCGGACCTTCGGAAAGGCGAGGCTCCGTTACTGCGCATGCTTGGGGGAAGGGCGTTTTGGGGGATTTTTAAGAGAATATCTGCGTTTGTGTCTTGAACTGGGTTCTCTCCGACGTTGTTGCCCGCCAAAGCTCCGCCCTCGGCTCCCCCACCCTCCGCAGCCTTTTTCTTTTCCATATGTGTGTGGGGGGTGCGATTTTACATTTCAGACCGTCAGTTTAAGCCATTACTTTACCCTCCCCCCTTTGATTTCCCTTCTCTCGTGGATTAACATCTTTCACCCAAATACCCGGCAACCCTCTAGCCAACTGCGTCATCCTCCTGTTTTCTTCAGATTGAATCATAACTGGGTGTACCAAGTACTGCTCCTGTGTCCACTCCGCACTGCTTGAACAACTGCCACCACTATAAATCCGGGTCAACTGGTGACAGCCTTCAGAACATCTAAACTGCACGCAGTCCAAAGCCATTCTCCGCCCCGTTTCCAGGATTCCAGGTTAGAATTTTGTGTGTTCACCCTAGCGAGGACTGAGAATGGAAGTGTTTGACAAACTTTGGGAGCCTTCACCATAGCAAAACTATCACGTCACTCCACTCATCGATTCTAGTCCTCAGGAATTTGTGCACTGAAAGTTTGCTCTTCCCTTCTGCCTGAAACTTTCTCCAGATGTCCACGTGGCTCATTCTCACTTCTATTCCTGTGTCAATGTCTTCGTAAAGCTTTCCCTGACAACCCAACTTTAAAATGCCCACCTCTACCCACACCTCTATCCCTCTTGAAAAGCATCGATGAGCCCTGTTCGGTAAGTCGCGTTCTAGTATAAGCCCGAAGACAGGAGTGTTTTATCCATTGCTGTTCCCAACAGCAAAACAGTGACTGGCACACAGTATGTACTCAAAAAATGTTGAGTACCTGGAGGGGATATAGGTATAGGTGGAATTTGAGAGCTACACTATTTCCTCCTACCAGGTCTTTAATGCCAGTTGAATACAGTAGCTTAACCCCTGCCAGTTGAGCCCTGGTCTTTCTAGCTTGTGTCATGACAGAAATAACCCTGGAAAAGGGGGTGGGGGATAAGAGGCAACCAGAATTCAGGAGTGACTCAGAAACTGGTCTTGAAGGGGTGTCGATGTGAATTGTTAGGGTGGGAACTTGGGCTGTGATGAAGGGGGGGTGGGAAGCAAGTCAGGAGCTGTAATGGGAAGGCAGGCAGTAAACAAGGCGTCTGGAGTAGCCAGTAGCCGGCACTGCTGAGAAAAGGGCCGAGAAACAGTTGATGTGCAAGCCTCAGATCTTATGTGGTGGAGAGTGTGTGTGTGTGTGTGTTCTACAGCAGCAACCAGGGGGGATGGATTGCCACGTCTCCCAATTTCCACTGTCCAGGTGGGAAATTAAGAAAGGTTAATCATGGAATGGTAAGGTCACCCAAGCAGAACAGGCCAATAAAATGGCCATGAGAGGTGAACAAGAAGAGCTGGCCTCAGGTAGGGACAAGCTGTGGTGAGTTAGGGGAGAACCTGAGTTATAATGCCCAGGTGGAAGTGAGAGGCATCAGTGGCATCATAGGGCACCAGGAATTGGTAGTGATGGAGAAAAGCCAACCAGACTGGTATCTTCAACTATCTGGGGTGCTCAACCCAAACCAAGGACACGGTATTTCAATCTCAGTAAAGTCAGTGGTGAGCCTCCTGCTGCCCATTCGAACCAATAAATTTCTTGCTGCCTCATTTGGGTAGGAGGGCTGAGGACCCTCCCGGGGAGAAGAAAAGCAAACTTGGGGTTGAGGGGAGAAGAAAAGCAAACTTGGGGTTGAGGGCCGGGTGGGGCAGGAAAGCTTTTCCTATACAAATATGTTCTCCATAATGACTATCAAGTGTATCTCTAAGGAAAGGCGCCGACCTCTCTTCAGCCCAGCAGGTCTCTAAGGCCCCTGCCCCTTGCATCACGGAGAGGTCGGGTTGAGGCCATCACCGGCATTCCCGGAGGTAGGAACCCTGGCTGTATAGGCTTGGCCAGGGTCTGAGTAGGAAGGGATTTGCCCCGAAAACAAAAGTCATGTGGATCAAGCACACTGGCAACCTGGTCACCATCATTTTCTTCTTCACAGCAGAAAGATTAGGGAAAAGATTCCCTTGAACACTAATCTTTGCTGCCTCTCGAAATCATTATGGCAGGTAGTTAGATGGAAAGATGGGATCCGAACCCTTCACAAGTGAATAAAGTCACACAGACCCAGGGACCTGTCATGTTACTAGTATTTCCATCACCACCACCACCACCTCCCACGCAGGTAGCAGCATGAAGAAGAGCTGGCAGTTACTGTATCCTCTCTGCCCAGGAAATCTGGACTTCGGGCAAGTTCCACGATGCTGGGATGCGGCTGAGGCTGTGCCCTTTGGGACATCACTGGAACCCAGACAGCTCCCGGAAGCCTCTTCTTCCCCTGGTTCCAGCAGGGTATGCCACATCTGGGTTAATAATTCTTTATTAGGATTCAGATTCCAAACAAGGTGGGACGAAGCGGCAAGAGGAAAGGTTCCGGGAAGAGGTGAAGGAGACTCCAGGCTTAGCTCCGTACGCCACTGCCAGAGGATAGGAGCCCTGGGCTACAAGGGGCTTGAGAAGGGCTGGTCTAGAGTGGGCTTAGGGGGCAGGGGGAGGGTGGCCTCAGCGGATGGTGTATCGTACATAAGGAACTTCAACATCCTCGCCGCTCTCGTCGTTGCAGCACAGCTCAAGCACCAGTGCCCGCACATGACGGCCCAGCTTTCGCTTCGACACACGGCTCACAATCTCTGTCATCCTGGGGGCAGGGAGGGCAATGAGACAGGAGGTGGAAAGGCAGAGTACATATGAGTGGGGCAGTTGGAAGTTGAGGTGCCCTGCCCTACAACACCACCCCGTGGCCCCGGCCTTTCCCCAGCCTGCCCAGCAGCTAACTCACGGCTGATCCAACCGCTCCTTGAGCTTGGCAGCTGGCATAAAGAAGGAATAGAGCATGGACACACCCTGGGACAGCATAGTAATTTCCAATTTGTGCTCACTCTGGAGGGAGAGGGGAATGAGAGAAGTGTCAGGGGGCCCTCATCTCCTGTACACACTGCCCCCCCAGGTGAGGTGAGACCAAGGAAGTGGCTTTACCTTAAAATATTCAAGGAACTGTTTGAGGGTCATCTCCTCACCATTAGGTTGTAGCCCTTGTACCTCAAAGCGATCCCACAAGGTCCACTCTTGATTATAGTACTGTAGGACACGGAACAGGGAAATAGGACAGGGGCTACACCTCCAGAGAGTCTAGCCCAAGACAGTGGCCACCCTTCATTTGTTCAAAAGATTCTCATAAGCTCCGGTCTCACTCTAAGCAAGCACTGAAATCTTCAAAATGACCAGCAGGTCCCTACACACCATTGGAAGCATTTGTCCCCCCCCAACGCCCCCAACCCCCCTTCTTGCTCACTCTCCTCTAAGGACGTTTACTTAAAGACTACTCCCTCTGTCCGGAATGGCCTGCCCCCAGAACCTGCATGGCTTGTCCCCTCACCTCTTCTCTTGCAAGACTGGGCTCAAATGCTGTCTTTACAGCAAGCCCTTCCCCTAACTACCCCATCACCCCCAAGTCCTCCCTGCCTTGTTCATTTTTGTTTTTCCTAACAAACACCTAACAAATATTCTCTTGAAAATGTGATTCACGAATTCGTGAACAAGGAGTACATCGAAAAGAGGCATACACATTGAAACTCTTACCTAGAACAAGCTCTATGGAAACACACAGACACACTCATCCTCCCTGCTGCAGGCGCCTACCTGGTGGCGAGGCGCAGCAACGGGTTCAGAGAAGCCAAAGAAAGGCAGGGCCAAGTTGAGGAATCCATTTTTGTAGGAATCAAGGTGTTGATGCCCTTGTACCACCTTGTACAACTCCAGACACACCAGGCCAACCACGGCTGCTGTGGTTGTGGCGATGGCTGGAATGATCTTCCCTGCAATCAGCTTGCTCTGTGAGGCAGGAGGGCAATCAGGAAAGGTGGTCGTTAACAAAGCTTAGGGTCTACAGGTGGGGCTAAATGTGGAGACCTCATAGCTGGAAGGGGATGGAGCAAAAAGTCTAGATTCCACTCACCTTGTGTCGGTCTGCAGGGGAAATGTCATAATTTTCTGCCCGGAGATTGGATGCAGCTACAATGAAATCCATATGGTAGTTGCTGTCATCATCCTAATGTGCATGGGGAGAGTGGAAAGAGGGTCAGAGGAGGAAGTGGCTTCCTGGTTCTGAGCATGTTAGGGGTGGTGGCTAGGAACACCTATTCATCAGGATGGAGTGTGGAAGGCCTATGATCCAATCCCCACAAAGGCTTGGAGCTGGCTCCACATCCCCAGAGACTCTTTCTTTCTGGCCCAGCCCCTCAATGCTCACCCTCCCCTCTATCCCCTGGCCTGCCCCAGGGCTCCCCACCCAGCACCTTCTCAAAGTCAGCTGTAATGGGAAGGCAGGCAGTAAACAAGGCGTCTGGAGTAGCCAGTAGCCGGCATTGCTGAGAAAAGGGCCGAGAAACAGTTGATGTTTCAGATCTTATGTGGTGGAGAGTGTGTATGTGTGTGTTCTACAGCAGCAACCAGGGGGGATGGATTGCCACGTCTCCCAATTTCCACTGTCCAGGTGGGAAATTAAGAAAGGTTAATCATGGA